ATCAGTCTTATCTTATCAAGATAGAGTTGGAGGTCTCCCTATTCAGCAAGGAGTCTCCCTAAGAGCAGGACTCTTGTAATCTCCTATTTAAGGAGCCACTATTATTGAATAAAGGCATCCAAAATTTTAGTCAAAGAGAAGAGTAAAGGAGAGTTAGGGTGATCTCTTGGACAAATCACCCCTTAGGTCGCCACGATAGGGTCAACACGCAAAGGGAGGGGCAAGGGGAAGCTAGAGGTTCTCCCCGTGGACCGACCCGTGACGAGATCCTACGCCTGGGTCCATAACACCGACCCCCCAAAATATCCCAGGGGAGGGAGGCCCGGCCTGGCCTGCACTTTGCGCGGGCCGTGCCGTGCCGGTCCAGCACAACCCGTTTTACACCTCTACCCATTCCTCCCCTTCAGGTCTTGGGTTATCAGATTTGTCTTGCTCCTCCTCACCTTCATCGACGTGCAACAAGTAGCTTTGTTGGGTTTTACAACAGTGACCGGGTCCGAACTTCTCATCACAATTGTAACATAGACCTCGGTCCCTATGGGCTTTCATCTTAGCCCATGTCAACCTCTTATATGGGGTTAGGGTCTGGCTGGTGTTCTTACCTTGTCTAAACTCGATCCGGGGTGGGTTCTTGAGCAGTGGAGCTGAAGCTAGGTCCGTCTTGAACTGCACGGGTTCTGCCCAGATGGGTTCAATTCTTGGGAATATTCCCATTCTTTTAAGTCGGTTTAATTTCTCTTGTAGTCGAGCCAGATCAACCGCAACTAGCATGGACGCCAGTTGTATGGCTTTAACTTCAACCCGTATTTCTTCCTTAAGCCCTACGATAAAACAGCCCAAGAGAGCCGTTTCTGGCCATCCGTGTACCCTCGTAGCTAATTCATCAAATTCTAGCTAATACTCTCGCACCGAGCCTATCTGCCTCAACTTGGATAGGGACTCATCATAGTTTTCGAACCATGTTGGTCCGAAGTGTATACAGAGAGCTTCCGTAAAATCTGCCCAGGATACTTGGGGATGAGATCGACGGAACCATTGAAACCATAAAATGGCTTCTCCTTCCAAGTGGAAGGATGCGATCAGGACTCTCTGATGACTAGGTGTCTTGTGGAATTCGAAGTACCTCTCGGCCCTGAAGATCCATGGCATAGGGTCGTTGTCACTGAAGGTGGGAAAATCCAGTTGGGAGATAACCAGTCTTCCTCTTCCTGTTCTGGACATGCCGCTTCTGCCATTATCTCCGCCTGTTCCTTCTTCCTCTTTCTTGTTGCTTGCAGAGGCTCCCTTTTCCAGTTGGAGAATGACCACTGCTAGGGTCGTTTTTAGCTCCTGGAGGTCGCTGGACATATTTTGCATTCCAACCTCCACTCGATCCATACGATCTCCCACAGTTTCCGATCTGGTGCTTGGCATCTTGGCTTTCCAGCTCTGATACCAGTTGGTAGGCACCACTTCGAGGGGGTGCTGCCTCTTGAGAAAGATGAGAGAGAGAGAGAGAGATTTTTTGAAAAAGGTAAGGTAACTTTTATTGATGAAAGAACAACATACAAATTACAAAGGGCCTTTCCACTGAAGCCCAAAACCAAGAGTACAAAGAAAGTTAGATCTCCCCAGTCAGCAGTTGGGCTCCTAAAGCCCTTGGTTGAAGACCTTCCACAGCAGCAGTCCAAGATATTAGTTTCCAAACGTATAGGAGATAAGTTGATCCACTTCATTATATTTGTTTTGGAAAATTCTGTTGTTCCTTTCGGCCCAAATAGTGCTTAAAACCACAGCTGGGATGGAAGACCCAACACTCTTTGTGATCTTGGACTGTCCCTTAAGCTCCCAACACCACAAAAGATCACACATAGTCGCTGGCATGACCCAGTGGAGCTGCCAAAGAGACAAGAAATGGCTCCAGATTGCATAAGATACAGAGCAGTGCAGAAAAAGGTGGTTGTTCTCCTCTTCCACTTGATTGCAGAGCACACAATGCAGGTTCTGGAGCTGGATTCCTCTCCTTACCAGATTCTTTTTGTTGAGACATTTGTCTAAAGCCACAGCCCAGAGTAGAGCATTTATCTTTGAAGGGACAACCTCGTTCCAGACTTTCTCTGCAGGAAAGTCAGCTTGAGGGCCAATAACTAACTTTCTAGCAGAATAACTCACAGAGAAAACTCTACCACTACTCCAACTCCAGCTTCACGTGTCCTCCAGTAAATCCAGGTTATGGTTAGACAACAACTCCAATAGATTAGAAACCAATTATATTTCCCAGTCCTGAAAATGTCTCCTGAAAGAAGGGCACCACATCTGTAAATTGTCTCGAAACTCACAGCAGTTAGCCACCATGGCCTCTTGATTCTCTGCAATCTGATAAAGCTGAGGGAATAACTCGGCTAAAGGCAAGTTGCTGCACCAAATATCTTTCCAGAAACTTACCCTTTGACCATTTCCCAATTTCACTGAAAGGCCCCTCCTAATCAGAGGGAAAATCTCCATGATTTTCTTCCAGATAGAGCATCCCAATGAGGTAACAAAAGTGGTTGTCGCCCAGTCACCCCTATCAGTGTTGTATTTGGCTGCAATCAAGCTTCTCCACCAGCTACCTCTCTCTTTGCCAAATCTCTAGATCCATTTCCCCAGGAGAGCCTTATTAAAGTCTCTCATTTTCCTGACCCCAAGGCCTCCCTTTTGTTTAGGAGCACAAACTTGATCCCAGCTAACCAAGTGAATCTTCTTCTCTTCTTCCCATCCTCTCCACAAGAAATCTCTTTGCAGCTTTTCCACTTTTTGAGCCACTTTCCTAGGCATTGAGAATAGGGGCAGGAAGTAGGATGGCAGACTTGATAAGGAGCTTTTTAACAGAGTAATTCTGCTTCCTAAGGAAAGATATTTTGACTTCCAGGAAGCCAACTTCTTTTCTGACCTCTCCATTACCGGTTCCCATATTGCTGTAGAAATACATCTAGCTTCCAGAGGGAGCCCCAGATGGATGGTTGGTAGGAAACCAACTTGACAGGCCAAAATTTCAGCTAAGTCATCTATATTCTCTACTTTTCCCACAGGAATCAATCTGCTTTTAGCCCAATTGACTTTCAGCCCTGTAACTATCTCAAACCAGCAAAGGACCCCAAAAAGCACTTCCAACTGATTTCTATCAGCATCAATGAAACAGAGTGAATCATCAGAAAATTGTAGCAATTGGACTTTTTCTCCCCCCGGAGTGGTTTCAAAGCCTTGCCACATACCTTCACTTCCCATCCTATTCACAAAGGCTGTTAATAACTCCATTACATAGATGAAGAGGAGAGGAGAGAGGGGGTCGCCTTGCCGGAGACCTCTAGAGCTCTTGAAGAAGCCAACCGATTGTCCATTTACTAGGACTGAGAATTTAGGAGAAGAAGTACAAACTTTTATCCAGCTCCTCCATCTTTGCCCAAAATTCATTCTATCCAAGACAAAGTCCAAGCATCTCCAGTTAATATGATCATAGGCCATTTCCAACTCCAGTTTACAGATCAGCCCAGGTTTTCCTTCCCTCTGCGGCTCTGCCTTGAATCAATCGGTTCGTTCTCCACCAAAACACTATCTAACATTTGTTTGCCCGACACAAAAGCAAACTGATTTTTTGCAATCATTGAACTCAGGACCTTCTTCATTCTCTCTGTTAAGACCTTGGCAATAATCTTGTAGAAGCTGTTTAGCAGACTTATTGGTCTGAAGGTAGCATTTAGACTTCTTTCAAGGGCAGCATTAGAGTGGAAATCCTGAAACACCTTCATCAGATCCACCTTGATCACCTCCCAGCACTTTTTATAGAAGATGTTTGTGAGCTCATCTTGCCCTGGGGATTTGTCCATTTCCAAGTTTTTTATCACATGCCACACCTATTCCTCGGTGAAAGGGGTTTCTAGATCTCTTTGTTGGGCCTCTGAAATCCTCTTCAACTCCAAGTCAATAGGGAGGGATCTCCTCTTCCACCTCTCCTTGAACAGATTGGAAAAGTATTGGGTTGCTATGTTTTTCAAATCAGTCCAAGTGTCACCCACCTGGCAATCAAGCTCCAATCTTTCTATTTGATTCACCCTTCTTCTAGCATTTGCCATCCTGTGAAAAAGCCAGATTTTTGTCACCTACTTTCAGCCAATTTTGTTCGAATGATTTTTTCCCTCCTTATTTCCTCTTGACCTTTTATACTGTACAGAGTATTACATCAAGATCAAGTTCAAGATCAAGACTCAGTAGTTACACCTCTGTTGCAACTGAATTTTCTGACGTGGCTCCCCTTCTTTTTCCTTCTAGAATATACTTGTTGTATTATTGGCTTGGCTTCTGGTTCTAGGCTCCTAACAATAGATACATGCCTTGGAGAACTCACCCCTAAAAGCTAGCTGTTAGAGGGAGGGAACCCAAGCACATATATACCCCACAACAGCATTCCATACTTCCGATGTGGATACCTCACATTAGCATCCCATACTACCAACGTGTGCCAAATGGATCATAGCACACTTGTTAGGTGATGGGAAACATACCAACAACCAATCAAAAGGAAAAGTCCAAAGCAAGAAGGAAAGAAGAACAAAGATTCAATATGCCAATTTACCGAGGAATTAATAACTAAGAAAACCATAGAAGTGGTTGTGGAATAAATAACACTGACACAAATAATGAAAGTTACTTCTTTTCTGCCTAACATCCTGAATTATCATACTTAATTTGGTAAATTTAAGTCAACTTTGAATTTATTTTCTAGTGGATGGAAATATGGTCAACTTTTTTGTTTATTCTTTTGACTTTTCCCAGGAACAAGCAACTTTTGTACATAGAATGAAACTACTTGCATAATTTGTCTTCATATCCTGTTGTAAAACTGAAATGAATTGTTTCTATCTTCTATTACTCATAGCTGCTACTAGCCTAGTTTCAGGTGGTTTTAGTTTGGAAGTTGTGAACTTAGCTGTCAAATTTGTTATTTGTGTTTCTAAATGTATATGTTCAACTGTTTGTTGCAGATACAGAAGTGGTGATCGACTGAGTCCTGAGCATGAGAAAACAATTTTGGACAGATTACTTCCACATCATCCAGATTATGAAAAAAAGATAGGATGCGGAATAGATTACATAACAGTATGTCCTCATTAATTCTATACCTCTTTTCTACATGATTAACTTAATTGTCAATTATAGAAATCTAGAATTTATACTGAAAGATGTATTTAACTAGTAATTCACTACTTTTTCTTATGTAACTTCTCAGTTTATATTATTAAATAAAGGATGTTAATATGTACAAGTGTATAGTCCTAAACTCCTACTATCTTGATAGCTCCGTTTACCAATCCTAATACATCCTTTCACATTACCAGATTTGATACAATTGAATCCCTATTTGTCACACCCCAAAACAGTTCAGCTTTGTTCACCCCTTACTTTGCTAAAGTATCTGCTAATCTGTTTGCCTCCCTTGGTACCCATTGAACTTTAATTTCAGCTGCCTTGTCAGCTTTCTAATTTCTCTGATAGCATGTTTATACTTCCAACGTCCTGGTTTGTCCAACGGTAAGCAATCCGCAGTGATATGTTAATCGCCTTTCACCAAGACATTACTCAAATTTAAAGAATTTCAAGATTTAGTCCTTGGTGTAAGGCTGTCAGTTGGTGCCCTTAGAGACTCTCCTTTCTCAGCAGGTCCTGAATAGAGTGCTATAGTTGCTTCATTGCCACCTCTAAAAACTCCCCCAATGCCAGACCTCCCAGGATTCCCCATGCTACTCCATTCAAAGTTTAATTCACAACTTTGCCAGCTAATTGGTTCTGATAATGCATCATTTTGATGGCTAGGAAGATGCTTTCTGATGTATTGCTGATGTTGTGGCCTAAAAATTCTGTTATCTTTTTTCATTGCCAATATTTTAGGAGCCTTGGAAAATCAGAGATACAGTATCAAAATACATTCTCCATTTAGCTAATCCCAATGAATAGATGGAATCATGGAAACGAAACAGAAATTTTCTTTGAATTCGTTAAATTAGGTAACAAGTCTTTAGTTATTTTGGAATAGAATTGGATTTCTTGAAATAACTGGCCTAATTTTAATGTCTGAGTCTATAAAAGACCCACAGCTGTAGTAGACCCATTGAGATGAATATTGAAATAAAATTTTGTTGAAGTTGTTCTTATTTCTCTCTAATTTCTTCTGTTGTTCTTATTCTTCTTCTATCTCTTACTTGCAGTTGTTGTTCATAATACATTAAGAAAATATCTTATTTTTCACTTAATTTGTTCTCTTTCTTGTTTCTCTATCGCTGTGCTGTGAAAGGTAGCATTAAGTTTCTCAGAGTTACACCTTTTGTTCATATATTCTATTTCAGATTCAACTTTGTACTACTAAAAGTTGTACCAGCAAATGGTTTTCTCCATTTTTAAAGTATTATATATCAAAGTTCACCTTTTTTTGGAAGAAAGGTAATTTTTTTTTTTGAATAAAGTTAACTAATTTTATTAATGAAAGGAGAGGTACACAAGAGGGTGTACAAGTACAAAAGAGGGTCCGGACCCCTGAGAACTACACAGGAGGACAGGAATCACAGTACAATGACTCTAGAATAACTCCTAATTTTGCTAGACCATCTGCAATTGCATTTAGCTCCCTTGGGATCCAGGTTAGAGAAACATTTGTATGAGCCAGGAGGTCCCTTGCCTCTGATAGGAAGTGACTAAGTCTCCAAGGTCCAGCTTCCTGTTGATCCAATCATCTTATAGTGTTGGCTGAGTCACCTTCAATGGAGAACCTTTGAATGCCCAGTTTGCTGACTAGGCGAATCCCTGTTAGAGCTGCTAACACTTCTGCCTTTGTGGAGTCGGCTATCCCAACCGGACCACTATAAGCCCAGCAGGTGTGCCCATTCTCATCTCTTAGAATTCCTCCTATGCCAGCCGCTCCAGGGTTACCATAAGCACTTCCATCAAAGCTAAGAGTCCAGAATCCTACCCTTCTAACTGAGGGAGCTCTGGGAGGGGGTGGGGTAGGAGGGGAGGAAACCAGGAAGTTATATACGTTTCTGCTGAGATCGTTGAAACTAACTCCCGTGAACTCCTCTGAACTAGAGGTCCACAAGTTGCAGTTGTGAGTGATGTGGTTGATCAGCTCATCCTTAGATTTTGACCTATTTTCAAACAGCCGATTGTTTCTTTCCTCCCAAATTCCCCAAAGAACAGCATGCAGTATTATCAGCCAATAGGTCTTACCTCTCTTGCTCAGACCTCTTCCTTGCCACTGAGAAATCAGGTCCTGAAGATGATTAGGAGCCGCCCAACTGAAGCCAACTAAATGAAGAAAGAAGTTCCAGATGCTGCTTGCTACCTGGCAATGTATGAAGAGATGGTCTGTTGTCTCTCCTTCATGTAGGCAAAGGGTACAGGCGTGAGGGGAGATATAAAGCCTTCCAAGATTTTTCTTCTGCAGTAACTCACAAGTGTTCACTCGCTGCAGGCAAGCCTCCCAAACAAAGAAATTCACTCTTGAGGGTATAAACTTGCACCGGATCTTCTTGTAAGGAAAGTCGCTGTCCCGGGTACCTGCAACCAGAGCTTTGAAGAAAGACTTGGACGAGAACTCACCTACAGGGTGGGGTTTCCAGACTCAGGAATCTTGGGAATTTGGGGAGATGTAGGCTTCACTGAGAGAAAGAAGGAGTTCAGTTAGCTCACTGATCTCCAGATCCCTTAAGGGTCTTCTGARGTTCAAGTTTAGGTTTCTTTCATTGCTGGCAAGGGGAAGGCACTGGGAGATGGTTGCGCCCTTATTTAGAGTAAGGTTATAGAGCCTGGGATACAGATCTGCTAATGTGGAGTTGCTCCACCACAAATCAGTCCAGAATTTTATTCTAGTACTGTTACCCACCTTGTATCTAATGAAAGAAATAAAGAGGTTGTGAATAGCAGAAATACCTTTCCAGGGATTTGAGAAAGATGATCGGTTTGAGCGGAGATTGCAATCCCAACCGTTTACATTTAACCCGTACTTGCTGGTGATAATAGTTGCCCAAAGAGAATTTGATTCCGTGGGGAATCTCCACAGCCATTTTCCAAGAAGGGCAATGTTTTTCTCTTTTAGATGCCTGATTCCTAATCCTCCAGCCTCTTTTGGTTTACAGACCTGATTCCAATTTACTAGGTGCCCCTTTTTTTTACACCTCTGCCTTCCCAAAAGAAATCTCTTTGGATTTTTTCAATCTGTGATCTGACTTTTGCAGGGATCTGAAATACTGATAGGAAATAGACAGGCATGTTTGCAAGGGAGGCCTTAATAAGTGTAATTCTACCCCCTTTTGATAGGTAGCAGCTTTTCCAAGTAGCTAACTTCTTTTCGCACTTTTCCACCACAGGCTCCCAAAAGCTTGAATTTTTTTAATTCCCTCCTAGTGGCATGCCCAAATAGGAAAGAGGGAGATTTTCCACTCTACAATTCAGAATTTCCTTGAAATTTTCCATCAGGGACCCTTCAATTTGGTTTATTGCTGCTAGGCTACTCTTTGTGTAATTTACCTTCAGCCCCGATACTAATTCAAAACACTGAAGCACTTTTTCACATTTGAGATGTTCTCTGGATTGGCTTCTAGGAATAAGATGACATCATCGGCAAAGAGGAGATGGGAGACATTTATGGCATCTCTTCCTACCTCAAAACCTTTGATTAAATTAAGGTTTTTAGCTTTCTCCAAAAGCTGGCTGAAAACATCCATTACCATTGTAAAGAGGAACGGAGAGAGGGGGCATCCCTGTTGTAGACCCCTGCTGGCTTTAAAATAACCTTTAGGCTCTCCATTGATCATGATCGAGAACCAGGTAGAACTAATACAGCCTTTCATCCACTGCAGCCATTTTGTACCGAAGCCCTTCAAATATATAATCTGGAGCAGGCAATCCCAATCAACTTTATCGTAAGTTTTTTCAATGTCTAGTTTCGCTAGAAGGCCCTTCCTTCCACTCTTCCTTCTGTCTTCTACAACTTCAGTTGCAATTAGGATGCTGTCTACAATTTGTCTTCCTCTCACAAAAGCAAACTGATTTTGGGAAACCAACTCTTTTAGAACCTCTCTGAGTCTTTTTGCCAACACCTTTGCCATTATTTTGTACACACTCCCTTCAAGACTTATTGGCCTGTAGTCTTTTACTTCCAAGACATCAATTTTCTTTGGAATGAGGCATATAAAAGTGGAATTAACTCCTTTGTTGACCACCCCCGTGGAGTGGAATTCTTTAAAGACCTCCAAAATATCCTCTCTTACTACTTCCCAACAGATCTGGAAGAAGAAGATGGGGAAACCATCGGGCCCAGGTGCTCTATCTCCATCCATATCAAAGACCGCTTCTCTTATTTCTTGCTCTTCAAATTCCCTTTCAAGCCAAATTCTCTTGTCTTCTGCTAGAGTCGGCCCTTCCCAGTTTCTTAAATTAAAACTCCTAGCCTTTTCCTTGGAGTAAAGAGATTTGAAATGGTTTAGAAAGGTCTCAGTGATCTCTTCTGCTTCTTCCACTTCCCTCTGGTCCACCTTAATTTTTGAGATGTGATTCTTTCTGTGCCTACCCGATGCATAGCTGTGGAAGAATTTTGTATTGTTGTCTCCTTCCTTTAACCATCTGACCCTTGACCTTTGCCTCCAAAAGATTTCTTCTTTTCGGATTACCTTTTCCCACGAACTCCTTAGAGTATCTCTCTTGCTTCTTCCTTCTCCGTCCAGATCTCCTAATTGCTCTTTCTTATCTAACTCTTCCAGCTCCACGAGGATGGCACTTTTTTCTTCTGTGAATGATTTGAACTCTTCTCTCCTCCAGGACTTCAGTTTTCTTTTTAGGAATTTCAGCTTTTGCAGCAATCTGTACCCTGCCCAGCCTTCTACTTTGCATTCCTTCCACCATAAAGCTACATTTTTCAGGAAATCTTTATGATGGGTCCACATCTTCTCCAGTCTGAATGGATGTTTACCTTTCAAAACCCGGTCTGTTCTCAAAACTAGAGGCCAGTGGTCTGAAGTGCAGCGAGGTCTAATTTCTTGGAGGAGATTTGGAAATTTTTCTGCCCAGTCTGCGGAAACCAGAAACCTATCTAATCTGCAGCTTATTGG